GCGTCGGCGCTTATTGGTTGAAATCAAAAGACGCGCTTGCGTAATTGTTCGCGCTGATGCACGCACAGCAGAGAGCAGCGGACAAGCTAGAGACTAGAGTGGCGTCGCAACAGTAATAATATCCTCGTCTCGCATTCTCATGGCCTCGCCATATCTCTGAGATTTCAAAATTTCGGCGAGAACGGGAGCCACAAAGGGTGCATGAGCCCGATCACTTCACTTGATTTGCAGGCCCGAGCCCGAAGCAAACCCGTGATTTCATATTTTATTTGGGAGGAGGAGGGAGGTGGAGGGGTGATTGCTGATAACATAGCCTGTCTTTTGGAACGAAGTTACACAAGACTAGATAAACATTTACATCTATTATATTTCTGTTTCTGAAGCGGTTACATTAACGGACAATTTTCCATCATTGACGGATTTTTTTTAAGAGTGGACGGGGAAAATTTAAGGCCGTCCGTCATTTTGACGGGTTGAAAATTGAGCCATTCACCACAGCAGCAAAACGTCCTTAAGAATCAAGCGTGGCACTTGAAGAGAGAGAAGCATCGAGACAAAAAAGAACAATGATGGCTGGATCATCAAGATATGAAGGAGTTCTTTGAATTGTCATTGCGAGAGTTTAGTACAGTACGTGTTGTGATGACGCCACTTCTGTTTTTTTGCGAACCACGGTCTCTCGTGGCCAAAACAATTAACGGCCTCGAAAAAAAAAAAGTCAGCGAGAGAGAAACAAACCAAAAAAAGTCAGCGAGAGAGAAGCCCGACCCGAACCCAAACAATGATTGACATTTTTAGGCCCGACCCGACCCTGGCGGCCCCATCTTCTTACCTATAGTGTACATGCATGCATATATATATATATATATATACACACACACACATATATAATTTTTTATTTTTTCCGGAATTTTCAGGGAAGTCCACTTTCATCTCTGTATATAGCATTAAGGAATGTTAATTACTACATTTACTTCTACATGCATGTATACCATTAAATTTGGCCTTATAAATATATATACCGTATTTTCCATGCTAAAAGGCGCACTGGATTATGAAGCGCACTTTCAATCAATGGCCTATTTTGTAATTTTTTCAGATATTGCACGCACTGGACTATAAGGCGCAATCTACAATGCATCCACTAGATTGAGCTACAGGTACGTCTTTGTCCGTCTCCGTGCCTTCTCTTCTTCCGTTAGACTCGAGAGGTGTTCATGACCGCCTCCAAAAAACGTAAATTAACGATTACTTCAATGAAACTATGAAAATTGAAAATACAGTAATGCATCAAAACAGAAAATCACAAAATAAATTCTATAGCCCCCCCGACAGAATTTATTTTGGCATTTCCTTGAGCGTAGCTGCAACAGAACGATCAGATGTCAGTAAATCTGACTCTTAGTTTTACTGTTTGGTGCCTACTACAGTGAAACTCCTCTAGAACGAAACCTACATGGGCGAAAATACCCCCTTATGTGAAAAAATCTTCATGCATTAACACAATTCCCATTCTACTGCCCCCCATACGACGAAAACCCCCCTGTTGCGTTATACGAAATCATTTTCTCTGCTCCAGCCTCGCGAAGACACTCACTACAACGAAGTCTTATCCAACAGCGACCTCGACTGCTTCGTTCGAAAAACGGCAACAGCAACCACTGCACTGGTTTACATAGTGAACGATGTTTATTTCGGTCAGAGCTGCGAGTTTCCTGGACTCAACATACTCATAGCTGCTCTGCTATTGGCTTACCGAGCATCATCCTGGCCTCCGATTGGCCAAGAGGGACCTCACTGTCTATGTGTGTAGATACTGAAGCTAGATCCGTATTATCCGATTAGCTGCTCAGAGTAAATTGATTATGGCTCGACGGACATTCAAATAAACGAACGTTTCCTCGAATGCTTTACTTGTTATCATGCTAAAATTGCAGGTATGAACTTTTTTTACCTCTGCATAATCTCTGGAAACAATATATCATTGATCTCTGCAGTGGATTGAAGCCAACAAGGTAAATAACCTCAAAATCAAATGCATAACTTTATGTTGAAGTGCAGCAATTACCTAATTAACAAATAATATATTATCAAATCAATTGAATAATTGTTGGTAATCGATTGCTTCGAGACCCTGTGTTTAATCTAAAATTATCCAAATCCTAGGAAGCAGCCACTCAGCAGTAGATATGAAGTAATTTTGTTTCTGCGGTTTTTTGCACTGTCAATTTGAAATAATGTGGGATTGACATTAAAACATGTTTTTTTCCCCGCTCAGAATCATTAAATTAATCTCCGAAAGAATTGAATGATTAATCATTCATTCATTCATTTTCCGAACCGCTTGATCCTCACTAGGGTCGCGGGGGGTACTGGAGCCTATCCCAGCTGTCTTCGGGCAGTAGGCGGGGGACACCCTGAATCGTTTGCCAGCCAATCGCAGGGCACACAGAGACGAACAACCATTCACACCCACATTCACACCTAGGGACAATTTAGAGTGTTCAATCAGCCTACAATGCATGTTTTTGGAATGTGGGAGGAAACCGGAGTACCCGGAGAAAACCCACGCAGGCCCGGGGAGAACATGCAAACTCCACACAGGGAGGCCAGAGCTGGAATTGAACCCGGTACCTCTGCACTGTGAAGTCGACGTGCTAACCACTGGACTACCAGGCCGTCCTGAATGATTAATCGTTTTTTTTAAATCGTTGTTACAGCCCGAATTCTATGTAATAAGGGCAACGTGGTGCAATAATTGTTTGCAAATGTTATTCCTATCGTAGCTGTGTGGCGTTTGCATATTCTCCCTGTGCTTGAAGGGGGAATGTACCGGTATGTTAGGTTGATTGACAAAATTGCGTTAATGTGAATAGTTTCTTTGTGACCTGTAGTTGGCTGGTGACCTGTCCTGTTTCTTGCTGATAGTCATCTTTGACAGGGTCCAGCTCACCCACCAGCCTAATGCGGGCGGCGGTATAGAATGCTCGATGGATTGATAGCTTCGATATTTGGAGTGCCTTTCAAGAGAGATGCAAGAATGCTTAATTTGGTTTTGAAATGTGTCGCTATTGCAGCAGTCCACAGTCTGTGCAGCAGAAACTATTGAAGGCGGACTTCCATGGTGCCATTATCACAGGTAAATTGTGACTTAAATCGATCATCACTTTTTAAACTATGACACAATGTGATTTAGGCACCGTGTATGCGTGTGTGTGTGTGCGATGCGCGCGCACACACCCTAGTTTTAAACCTGCTACCATCTAATAGATCTTCTATTCATTGATTTGTTGTGTCCACCGCTATAAGTCGCTGGCATAAATAGATAAACGAAGATCGATATTTAAAAATAAATACTATTGAAGGCGGACTTCCATGGTGCCCCAGCAATGGCACACTCGTTGAGATTCAATCATTTAACTTTCGATTTTCGCTATTTGCGGGCTAGCCCTGTCCCTCTACCCAGCAAATAGCGGGGTCCACTGTATGCAACTGTATATTCAAGCAATATTTTTATTTTGTAAAAAATATTTTATACAGTGAAACTCCTCTACAACGAAATCATGTTTGCAGCAAGAAATTTTTCACAACAGGGGGTTTTTCACTGTAGCAAATTTGATGTAAGCACACACACACACACACACACACACACACACACAAACGTATGTGTACACGCACACACAAACGATTGTGTACTCTTTATTTTTATTCCAATAGTGCATAAGTATGAGCACACACTTATTTGACACTTCATATAATCAGTGTAGAAAGAAAAAAAGGGAAAGAAATTGCGAAATATACGATCAGCATTCACTTTCACTGACATCAATTTCTTGGATAATGTCTTTTATTTTGCTTCCTCCGTCTTTCATTTGATCACTTTTCCCCTCTCTTCCAGCGTCAGAGCTCTTCTTGTTTTTGCTGCTTGACATCCAAAGGTCCATTTTGTAGGCATTTTAGCAATGCAACGTTCATGCTGCGTCTGAATCTAACAATAACAAATACTTCCCGGACCCGTTGGATTTTCTTTCCACCATCTCACTGTCTCTAACTTGACCTCCCCTCGATCGCCCCCCAAGACAGCGTTGCTCAGCTGATGTCATGCAATGAACTTTTAAGCCAGCCACGGGACGCTTCGTAGTCCTCGATGGCCATAGTTAGCTCTCGAAGACTAAAAACCTTAGGCTAACTGGAGCGCTTCTCTCTCATTAGCGCTCCAGTTAGCGTAAGGTTTTTAGCATGATAACAAGTAAAGCATTCCAGGAAACGTTCGTTTATTTGACTGTCCGTCGAGCCACAAGCAATTTACTCTGAGCAGCAAATCGGATGCATTCCACTCTATCTTCCACAGATCTGGCGACAATATCTACACACATAGACAGTGAGGTCCCTCTTGGCCAATCGGAGGTCAGGATGATGCTCGGTAAGCTATTGGCAGAGCAGCTATGAGTATGTTGCGTTCAGGAAACTCGCAGCTGTGACCGAAATAAACATCGTTCACTATGTAAACAAGTGTGGTGGTTGCTGTTGCCTTTTTTCGAACGAAGCAGTAGAGGTCGCTGTTGGATAAGACTTCGTTTACTATTTATATTTTCTATAAATATATTGTTACAAATAATATTTTATATATATATATATATATATATATATATATATATATAATTCACCTTCTCAACACTGTGTATATACACTTTTACTTTTGGCCTGGAGGCTGGCCTGCGCACAGTCATGCTGACTAAGCTGCAATATGCTTAGAACGTGCACACTGAGGCAATTGAATCTGTCGTGTACATGAATACTTGCACCACGCATCCACATTTGCACACTTGTGTGCACAGAGGCGTGCACCCGTCCTCTTTCCCTAGTCACAATGGCTCCTGATTGAGGTCAGATCATGCTTTTGGCATCTTAGCAGTGAAGCCAGGTGAGCTGTCCTCTTGCACCAAGAATCCACTAGGTGCATCGGAATCAGCTCCAAGCAAAGCACACAGACACACCGATTCAGGGCAAGCCTGCCCAAAGGAACCACCACTGACCCACCAGACTCTACCCAAACCACCATAACACCTCTGCACCAACAAAACCCAGACAACACACAAATCCCACACAACACATGACGATGGTTGTTTTTCATTAAATGTGTCCTTCTGTTTGTAACTTTTTCTTTTGTCTGTTTTTTTTTGTTTTTTTTTTAAACAGTGGTTCGGTCCAAATGCCCTTCATATGTGGGCATTACAGGAATTTTGATCCAGGAGTTCAAACATGTTTTCAAAATTATTACAAAACAGGACACACTCAAAGGTAAGCAACTGTTTTTTTTTTCTTATTTATTTCGGTGCATAATATTGTAGGGAAGATGATCTCAGGTAAATGCTGTCTTGGTTGACACTTAAACAGTTTTGTATTGAATTGAATTGAATACAACTTTATTGTCAAATGTGCTGTACGTATGTGTAACATACAGCACAGATGAAATTTCTTCCCTCTCAACATAAAACAAGAGTTGTAAACAATCCAGCCGGTTCAGAAAACTGGCTATGTTGTATGCCTCTGGGTCCAGGTCCACACTGTGTTTGTGTACGTGTGTGTGTTTTATTTATTTAATTTTATTTACTTTACTCGGCTACGTCTGCTTATTCATTTGCATGGGTGTGACGTGCTATGTATATTTTCGACGTCAGCACAAGGCGCCCAAAAGTTAATTTCAACTTAATCAGGCAAAATGGGCTAAGGACCAAAACTGCCTTGGAAGGCTTCTGGTCACCCAACCACACGTCCTGCATTAGAACGCACCATCGAAACACAGGGAGGTGTCGGTGGACTTATTTATTAAACAATACACCACACTCCCAAGCTCCACTGCTGCAGAGATTTTTTTTCTCAACAGCCGGCAACATCTTCCGGCCAAAGAGGACTACCCAGGCCAGTGCCTGCTTTGACAAGCTGGTCTTCCTCAAGGGGAACATGTCCGTAATAGTCTACCCCACTTAAAGGGGGTAGTTTGAGGAGGAGAAGCAGCAGGGGGCCGAACACACACACAAAAAAAAAAAAAAAGTGTGTGGGGTTGGGGGGCGGGGGGGGGTTCTGTGTGCAAAGATGTCCATGCTGTTCATAATTTGCAGTCATTGTGTGTAAAGTGGTTCACACTTCTTCAGAATAGATTGTGTGGCAGCCTGCTGCACGCATATTTTTACTGTCGGTATTAAAATAATGGGAACTCGAAAAGAAGAATTTACTTTTTCAGATAGGGACATGTAGTTTTGGATTTTTTTTTTTTTTTTATGCCTTACTAAATTAAATTGGCATTTAGAAACCGCATATTGAATTTCCTTGGGTAGTTTCTGTGTGATATTAAAATTGGTTTGAACTGAAAACTTTATGTGATAAATATGCAAAAAACACAGAACTCTGGAAGGAGGCAAATACTTTTTCATAGCACTGTATGTAATCAAAAGAAAACGCTTTTTAAAGCACTTCAAATACCATATGGGCGTAGATAAAGCACTATGTAAGTGCACTCCATTTACCATTATTAGATTGAATGGAGTCAGCTCCTACAAGTTAACACAGACAGGATTTAATGTCGATTGTAGTTCAAGTAGAGTGGAAAGAAAAGTTGAGGTAATAAGTCTAAATCCACCTGTAGCTCGTCACTTGAGATGTAGGGACTCTGGGTGCGTCCGGAAACAAACTCAGTGTGCGCTCTGCTACACACTGGACCGTTAGGAAACTCAGAGTTGTTGGAATGTGTGGAAAACTCACACTCCAAGAATAGTGTTAAACCGGAGGATTCAATTTCCGAAAGCATCCTCTACCAAAGTTAATATGCACCCGATTAACCACGTCGCCTCCGTGACCAGATGACATCACAAGAAATATGATGATTGTCCAACAGGTCCACGTGACCCAAAAACAGTGAAAGGTAGACACAGCAGCAGTATGAAATACATACAACTGCTCAGGAACATTTGATCATTTTTAACATTTATGAATCGTGATTGAATGCTGTTGGATCATGATAAGTCTAAAAATCGATGTATTGCCATAGCCCTAGAAAGCACATAATCATACATGCAAGCCCATGCGCATGTCATTTTCCTTTCTCATTTTTTGCAGTCATCCCGAAAAGGAACAGTGTATTTCAGGTGGAGATAAATGGCTTCATCTCTTACATCTACGGAAACAAGTTTGAGCAGCGAGCCAGCGAACGCTCAGCAAAAAAGTTCAAAATCAGTGGTACCATTGACTTGTGAAAGCAGGGTATGTTTATATAGTGTGACTCAACCAGTGAGAACTATTGTATTTCGTTCAGTGTTATTTTTTTTTGGGGGGGGGAGCAAGCATTTTATGTTTTTTGTTTTTGAACACGAGAAGTAAATTATTTTCAATTAACCTCTTAAAAAAGGAATTTGCTGTTTTGTAACAATGATGCCATGCTCTCTGTTTTTATGTCCCCCCCCC